GCTCCGTCAAAACAAAACCCAGGGATTCACAAATTCAGCCTTTTTATGGCGCAGATACACTGAAACTCGATGTTGTAGATTAGTTACTGTCCGAATCAGTTAGCACCACAGATAATGCATTCACGTATATTGTTGACCTATGAACGCTTTTTAGCAGTTTAAAAAGTATTACTGGAATGATATTTCCCTTCTTTTTATTGCAAACACATTATTAAGTGCCGATAGTTGATAAACAAAACCCATTAGCAAACACAACAAAATATAGTCACCTATGTTTTCAATATCGCTTGTTTTGCGTTCACATTTGCTTTTGCAAATCATCTTAGTTTATCTTCAAAATTCGAAAGGAAAAAATTTCAAAAAGCTTTTCATTCTACATCAATATTGGTGGGTTTTTATTTGGTCATACATAATTTATACTGTTGAAAAATTAATTTTATTTAAAAATCCTTTATTTATTATTTAAGCTTTTTGTCAACATACAGGAGTATCCATGCATTCTTTCCTTAAAAAAAGATTTCCACGAATTATTGATAATCTCTAGTGACTAAATTCTGTCTTAGTTTTATTCACTAATTCTACGGTTAAAAGGAGATAACAATGAATCAAGAAAATAACAATCATTTTTTATAATTTAATAACTGTCTACAGTTAATTTAGATGCAAAAATCGATATCTGATCAAGTGTTAGTTTATAAACTGATGCCTCATTTAAACATGTCTATTGAGAATAGAAATCATTGATTTGTAAGGTAAAACTATCGAATAAATTACGATCACTTCTTACCATCAGAATGTCACAAGTAGTTTTGCGACAAAACTATAATAGTTGAAATCATGAGTCAATTGAAGCTAGACCACCATGGAAAACCTGGAAGTACTAGTGACTGACTTCAAGAGATATTTCCTTGAGTTCTAGTGGGAAGCAGAAAACTATAATAAATCATCATTGTTTGCTCACTAAGCTCGGATTCTGAACAATAAAAAACATTTCAAGCTTAGTTCGTTAGTAATAAATATATTTTTGTCATATACTAAAGAGTAGAAAAACTGTATTTCTGACGTTTCGTGACTTAATGAAAGCCACTTCATCAGAGTAAATTAATAACTGAGATTAAATTAACACAAGTTTAGTTCATTAGAATTTATATAGCGGATAACAGTTGAAACTCTCTCTCATAACTAACGATATTTAAAGCTGATAAAGAGTGTGAAGTTAAGATGCTTAGATCAGACTTTTAAGAGAAATACAAAAAAAGTTCAATTTTGGCCAAATTTGTAGGAAATATAATTCAGCTTTTGATAACATGTATAATACATAAGGTAAAACAAAATACATATATAATCAGTCGGTGGGGTTTGACTTAGGCTATATCATGTAAGTAAGTACAATTAAGAATTTTGTAAATTATTTATATCATTGAATGAAAAGCCCTTTTAAAGTATATATATATGACCTGAAATAGCGTGATCATTAGTCGGACCACTTTATTTTCACACGTAAAACATGTGACAATTATCAAAATTACAATCAAGCAATCAATAAAGTACATACTTAGGTTAAACAACAAAGATATGTTGAGAATTCAAAATGTTTACCACCCAGAAAAAGCTACATTCAAGTTATCTACGATTTATGTGAATTCATTAGTTTAAAACTTTGTTCCGATAGATTTTCGTTTAGGAAAATTTGAGTGAATTTTCACAGACTGTTATATTGTGAGACTCTAACACTGTATTTTCAGCTTAATTCAGGTTTATTGAGTGCAATATAGATGAGTTAGTGAATAAGAGTGATATAAAAATGCCAGAAAATTAGACCAAGAGATGAAGTTGAAGCCTAAACAACAGCACATCACCTAATATTATTAATTCCTAACAACACAAAATGACTCAAAGTAGAAATTCACGAAAGAACAGTAATTGTTGAACAATAATAGCTCAGACGTAAGCACACAAAAATCTAAAATTTAAACATCCGTAGGATGAAATATGTGCAGTGCCCAAAGAATTCTTAACCAAGTTAATGACAACTGGCAGCCAATGGTACTGTCCAATATCTAAATTCAACTAATTCACAGTATAGTGCAGCAATCTTTCAATGCCGGTGGTAGTTTACATACGCTATAGTTAAACTACGCTTTATGATGTTATGGGATAGTTCAATCCGTAAATGTACTTGGACGGAACGTAAGATGTACTATGGTTACAGTAATTCATTTTTCATTTTTGAAAAAAACAACCCTAGGAGTGAATATATACAAACGAGTTTATATTATATTGGAAAAACAAAACATATTTGTTAGAAATTTCATCAGTTAAACCATACATGAAGAAGCCCTACAGAAGTGAACACAATGTAAAAAATGTCTACAAATAATCGATCTCCATAGTTGAGATCAGAAAACATTAAAAACCTAGAAGCACTAGATGATCGTTTCGTCCTGCGATGAGACCCACCAGCAGCACGCGCCCACGATGTCGCACGCTGGAATCGAACCCAGAACCTTCAGTCTCGCGCGCAAACCCTTAATCTATAGGTTATTGGGTCGGCATCCAAAGGTGTTAATGTATAACTTCAATCAATCCAGGATCTTGCGCAACCATTCTTTATTATCTTCAATGAGTAACTGCTAATCCTTTGGTGTTTCTAATAGTGGCGTAGCTTAGATCGAATTTAACTGTAAAATCACTACAATCTCTGGAAATCCTCATACTGAAAATAACTTATTCACAAGCGATCATATAGAAGTAAATGGGCGGATGTGATAAGGTGGAAGGAGTAGACTTTGCTTTTCACGCAATAAGAAAAGACAGATTCTATGAACAAAGTAATAACCCAAGAAAAATATTTCACTCAATTCAAATTTAAAATCATCAATCACTTATGACCAAAAACTTCTTAAAATCATTAGTGTTTGAAATGATGAAGACAATTATTACCTCAACTACACTTTTTAATGATATTGTGCCCACTAAATTGTTTGAATTAATTCCTTGGCTCTAATTCTCTTCTGTAGTCTATTTTGGTTTTTTTTTGAATTAGCGTCTTGTAATTTTGAGCCATAATCAGTTATTATTATCCCTTAACGATTTTTTGTGATTATTATTTGGTTATTATTATGACTTTTATGTTTTCCATTTTTCTTCATATCTGTCAAGCGGACAATTATTATTCATTGTTTTGATACGTAAATTATTTTCATCTTTATATTCTTTCCTAACCCAATTATTATTACGTAACCTTATTTGATAATTGTAGTCTCGAATCACTTTATTACGCAATCTTATTTGAATTAATTCTGGAGGATTCGCTTTCAGTCTAGACGGCATTATCATCTTTGCTTATTATTATTATTATTATTATTATTATTATTATTAATGGCTTTATTCAAAATTATATTTTTGGTACAATATGGAATTATCAGTACATAACATTTCTACAAGTTTGCGTTTCTTATTTCGTGATCGATCCTGATGACAGATATCGAGTGATCACGAATCGAAATCTGAATAATATTTATTCTCATCAATGCGCAATGCCAGCCACCACAATGTCTCTGATTGTACGTTTTTGTAACTTGTACAGAGAATGGTCGTAAACCTTTTACAAACACGCATGAACAGTCTATATGATTAATAGACATAACAATGTTAAAATAAACAAAACAGATAACTTGTTGAAATGTCCAGATGACAAGAACAGGTAACCCAGATAATCAAGCAGACTAACCCTGAAAGTTAACATAACATAAAACATTAGATTGATTGCTATCGGTGGTAGATGATGAGTTAGTACGTTTGAACGACTTGGTTTACAAACAACCAAAGTTTGTAAACTTTGTATCATGGACAACTTAATCTGATAGACAGTAAAACTAGTCTCCAAAAAAAGGAAAAATTTAATCCAAAGGTCAGTAAAAACGCTTGCGCCGGGTTAGTAAGTTACGTTATTATCATTATTATCAGATTGTTAAAAGTATTACTAAAATTAGTATACTACTTTATTTTATGTTAAAACAACTTATAAACGTCAAAATTGTGTGTGAATGAGCAGTAATCAAATAGTCCAGTTCCCCTATCTGTGATTCCCACATTCTATTCAAATGATTGAATACATTTTTTTAATGTAAAAACAATGTAACAAAAAATCCAGTCATTCTAATCTAAACTTTAAATTTGCACTGAATTACTGTACACTACAATACTACACATAGTACAGAAGTAATCACTGGTAAAATAAAACGAGTAAGGAGTCTATCAAGTGCATAAATTATAGTAGAAGAGGACATTTTAAACAATAACCACATAAAATTTTAGAATGCTAATGATTTATTATACTAAAAAAAGGGATCAATATAAAACTTTGACAAGTGAAGAAGAGAAAATGAATGAGTTTAAATAGAGAGAAATACTTCAGAAGGGGTTTTGTGGAGATTTGGTATTTTCATAGTTGAAAGCACAAGTCAATTGAACCCAGACCACCAAGGAAAACCTGGAAGCACTGGACGGCCGTTTCGTCCTATTGTGAGAATCTTCAGCATTGCGCGTCCACGATCTCGCCTCGCGAGATTCGAGGATTGGTTGAAGTCAGACAGTAACACCACCGGATGCCGGCTCAGTGGTCTATCGGTTAAGTGCTCTGGCGGGAGACTGGTAGGACCTAGGTTTGAATCTCGTGAGGCGGGATCGTGGATGCGCACTCCTGAGGAGTCCCACAATGGGACGAAGCGGCCGTCCAGTGCTTCCAGGATTTCCGTGGTGGTCTAGCTTCAACTGACTCGTGTTTTCAACCAACAAATACTTCAGACAATTACGAGAAGGATATAAATGTTATACTAATTGCATAATCATTGAAATGTAACAGTATAACTTGGTCCCGTTCGATTTATGAAATAAAAGTAGCATCATTAAATGTATTGGATGAAAAGTTCGATTAAATAGAATTGACAAAAAAAAATAACAATGACCAAAGAAAGAAGTCTTTAATCAACGCTTACTAATCTTCGTCGTTTCTTATTCCAACCTTCAGCTCTTCTCCTGGAATCAGCACGACCAGAGGCTGTTACAATGAAATTATGAATAGAAAAATAATCATATATTTTAAAAGGATAGTGATGATTGTTCTCATAAAAGACTTTAACTGTTATTAGACTTCATTTTATGGAACATTTTTTAACAAGACATGAGAAATAATTAAGATTTATTAGTGGAAATCGTAAAACCCATGAGATATAAGATAAATAAATCATACATTAAAAGTTTCTTTAAACATTTAATCATATCATTAGAGATCAATATTTGTTGAATCATCCGTGGAAATAAAACAGTAGTCTGTAATTACTATGAATATTAAGAAATTTGTGGTATACACTGTTTAAGTCAACTGTGAAAACACTACAATCTCCACAAATCCTCATACTGATAATAATCATATGCTCACCAAAGACCAGCTTCAAGATGGTCTTCTTGGAGTTCCAGTGAGAAGTTGTGACCAGTAGAGTTAAGTCCGTGTCGTATGTGAGACAGTTACCCATTTTAGACAATGGATGGAGAGTTACACACGATCGTGGATCGATTGAAGTTAGACATTGACACCGTCTGATGCCGGCTCAGTAGTCTAGAGGGTAAACTCATGTTCACAAAACTGGGGGTCCTGGGTTCAAGTCCCGCATACAGGATTATAAATGCTCACTGTTGGGGAGTTTTATACTAGGAAGAAACCACCGTTTAGTGTTCCTAGGTTTTTAATGGTGGTCTAGCCTAGATGGACTCATGAATTCAACTGTGGAAATAATGAAACAGTGGGGTTTTTATAATAATTTCAAATTTTTACTCATTTATTGTCACTAAAGTGTGTTACATTTAATTTAATAATTAAGATTCAATTCATTACTAAATAACGATTAGAATAAGTAAGGAGAATTGATATTAATGGACTTATTTTAATCGACATAGATAAAGTCATATATCAAATCAACAACTTCATCATTGAATATTGAAAATTAAATTCAAGGAGAATCATATTCATTTTGAGTATATTTACAAGTATCGTTACATTTTAAACAAAACAATTGAATAGAACTGAAATATACTACTTATATTTTACATCGAACTGTATATACAACAGGATTAAATAATATTGCTGAATAGCTTCAATATTTTTAATTGTGTCATCTGAATGTTGATGTATTTTTTACAAGATTAATTTCGGGAAGTAGAAAGTCGTGGAAACATTGAATAAATCAATAATGAATACTCTATATAAATGTTATCAGATATTTTAAGGTCAATCAATAATTTATTAGGGAGATGAATTTGATGATTATTTAAAAAAACCAACAGTTACGTAACCATTGTAATTTATATACATAATTGACTCATTATAATCATAACAATTAAATAAGTATTTTCATAGTTGAAATCATGAGTCAATTGAAGCTAGACTACCATGGAAAACCTGGAAGCACTAAACGGCAAAATAAGTAATGGGAAACAATGGTATGAAACATCATGATTCAGCCATCCTTCATTTTGGTATACATATACAACAGACTTCCATTCAGCTTACTTCTTCAGTCAGTTATGCACAATGCAGAAGTGGCACATATGTGCAACGAATCACAATTACTACATTGCATCAGTACAGTGAAATGTTGAAATATTATAAAAAGTAACAGTATTACTGATAAATTAGTGAACGAGAACACAGGCGGAACAATCAAATTGCAGAGTCCTTTAGTATTATCTGAGAACCATACAGTAAATACTTCAATTGCAGGATATAAATCAATTGTCTCAGACTTGACTGTTCCTTCGTTTCTACACCAATCATTCTCTGTTCTTGTTCTCTTCTTTCAATCTTCTTACCACCAGATATTTCACTTTCGATTGGTGATACACGCTAATTATATCTGTGGACATCACTAGCAGACATCACAATAGTAATAAAAATATTTTTGTTATATTCCAATGAGTAGAAAATTTTACTTCTGACGTTTAGTGACTTAACGCAAGACACTCCTTCAGAGCAAATCAATAACCGAAATAAAATTAATACAAGTTAAAATAGTTAAAAGGAAACAACGATTATTTTTAGTACAATAAAAACCATAATATTAAATCATAATGTGATGTATGCTACTTGTGTTTGTAGATATGAGTAGTATGTAACACAATTCGGAAGTGAAATGTCTGCAAGCACAAGGTTGAGAACATTAAAATGAAAAGAAAGGAGACTGAAAACAATCAAACTAGCAACAGGATGAAGGAACAATGAAGATTTTAAGAGGCAATTCAAAGATGGGCAAATGGTATATTATTTTCACATCTTACTAAATCACTGTGTGATTGTGCATTAAACAATAAATTGGTCTTCCCCACCTGAGTGTTCGTTCACTACAATAGTATCAGTGATAGTAGCAAAGATCAGGCGTAAAAAAAATATGATTTGGGGAGAAATCATGAACCCGTTGCATAAGAAAACTCCAAGATAACCAAGATATTGACGATCTAAAGAAAGAGCGAATTCATCTGTCTTATTAGTAGTAATTCTAAGCCATGCCATGAAATCTCTAGCTACGATGAGTACGATAATCGTGCAAACATCAATCACATATTCTATTATCTGACCCATAAATTATTTTCTTTCTTACCCCTTGATTAGTACGTCACCTCATTTGTTATTTATTGTCGAATCAATTTTGTAATGCAATCTTTTCTAGCCTCCTATAGACATATATTTTCCATATTAATATATATACGAATGTACAGCTTAAGTAAATGATTTCGTCGAAAAGAAAATTTTCTTCGCTGAATTCTCTTTTTCTTATTCTATACTTAACTTTATATCAATCAGACCAACAATCACTGACATTAGAGACTGATTCTACGATTTAGTTAAGCTAGCTATGGAGATTTTCAACCTATTCTTATTTGCTTTTCAAAAACAAATCATATTAATCATTATTAGTGTCTTTATTTCTATGTATTTCTTAATAATTTCTTAATATATGGATTATGAAAATGAACTTTCTTTCTCTTATATACTTTCAAATATTATTATGTATTTATTTGAACTTTTGTATATTTGACCTTCATTAATTTTCATATTATAAACGCCATGACATATGCAAAAATGTGACCAGTCTATTCGAAATATGTTGTATAGATGCTTTATATATACACTTTTCAGTTCCATTCCATGTTCACATAACACAAACGATGTTTACCAAAACGCATTCACCGTTATAAAGCGGTCATAATATCTAAGCTTAGTAAATGCATTCCGGAACTAGTTAATCAATCCATCATAAATAGAGAACAACCTGACACAAAAGCGAATAAAGTGAAACAGTTTGAATAACAATAATCTTAATGTGCAGTCAAGATCTATAACAGTGGAATGTAGTTCAAAAGAGGCAGATGAAACTAACGATTTATATAAACATACAAAACAAATACAACTGTAGCACTCCTGAGAGATACGATTAGCAAATGTTTCAACATTAAAAATGAAATATCGAGAATTCTTGGCGGAAACAACGCTCTTAATAATAATAATAACAATAATAATAGTATTAAAATGAAGTAAAACAAAATCCCTTAAGTAAAAGTAGGAGTGAAATATAAAAGAAAAGATATGAAGCAAATAGATCACAGCATGAACTAAGGCCATGATAAAGAAAAGGATATTACATATTCTATTGAACATTATTCGTTGTCCTATAGTACATTACGCATAAAATTACATATCTATGTATATATATTCGTTAGTGTTGATATATTGTACGATCATCTGAAGCCTAAAAAGTAACCTAAAACACAAATGTAACACTAGCGACCATAACCTAAAGAAACAACACCAGACAACAAATCACAACGAAACCTTTCAAGTTAGCATTGTACACTTTTGATGGAGACTCAAGAGATTATCAAGAAAACAACTACTCAATGCTTCCTAGCTTTTACTAACCTTTCATCATCTAATATCAGTCCTTATAAAGAACAGGTTTTTAAGGTTGAACACATTTTCACAACCGACTGAACTAAGTAAACTTATGATAAGTATTGAAATGATGTAAACACTAACAAGTCCGATCATATAACAATATTGATATGCGTATCTATCGAATATTTATTTACAAAATGAACCCAGCATGATTTCAGATTAAGTGAAGATAAGTAACCAATAGAAATGAGGAATGAAGCAATTATATATATAAGATCTTTTTCTGTTTGTTCAAAATTAGTTACAACTGGCAAATATTAAAAAAGAAAGAAGAAGAGAAGTGAGGAAAAAAATATTTAATCAAGATCAATCATAGTTTTTTTTTGTTTACTTCTTAAACGATATATTTATTGTATACAGAAGAAATCGATCAGAATTGAAAAATGAATCATTGTATTTAGAAACTCTATGGTTTTAGGCAGGGTAAGTTGTATTGTAAAATCCAAAAAAGTGTTAGGTTCATGCGAAGGTAAAAAAATCTTTTTGCGGTCAATTACAAATCAACTGATACTGATCATGAAAAGATTGGTATTTATTAAAAAAACAAACATGTGTGGACTTGAACATAACACTCAACTTCTAATTGTAAAATTAACTCCAAATATAATAGTACTGAATTAAATAATCATTAAAAAACAAATATTGAAAAATAGGTTATATTAGAAAATTAATAACTGATCTAAGTAAGACCATCACTGAAAAACTGGAAGCGAAAGATGGCTGTTTCATTCAAGTATGAGACTACTCAACAGTGTGTATTTACTAACCCATAAGCAGGAATCGAACGTAAGACCTTCGGGTTTCGCGCACGAACACTTAGTCTCTAAACTACTGAAACGGAATCCAACGTTGCAATATTTTTAACTTCAATCAATTCACGATATAGCCCGACTATATTTTATTTTCTTTGGTGTGTAACTAGATCGCACCTATCACGGTTTAGTTCCATGATCACAACATGCGACTAGAACTCGAGAAAATTTCCTATCGAAGCTAGTCACTAGTGACCACGTGATAATTGTCAGTAATAAGTGCAACAATCTCCACGATCCCATACTGTTAATTATTTTTTTGTCTGATCAATAACAAAAATTAACTGGATTGACTAATAGTGTGATTATTTATTAAATGAAGATTAAATAATTTATCATGTTCAAGATTTTTACGCAACACATAATTAGCGAGTTGTTAAAATTAAATTTTTAAGGAATTTAAGTTATTATTAGTAGTAATCAATATTCTTTGTCTCTAATCAGTCATTGATTATGATGTAGATAGGGATTTTTTCGAAACTATTCCACATAGATTTCAGGTTACTCAGGTATATACCGTTAAGTCAACGATTAGATGATACTATCTAGATTTCTCACGACATATGTTCACTATCGAATGTATTCAATAATAATATGATTAACTTTGAAAGAGGTCAGTATTTATCGATTAACCCTGTCAATAACTATGTGGATCAAAACACGTTAGAATATTTCGTTTCATTTAGACCTGATTTTTTTCTCTACTATGATACAATATAGTTGTACCCATTGAATTATCCAATCTTTGATATTTCATATGAGTATAATTAATGACATGACTTAGCAAGAAATCGACCAATGTTACACAATATTCAATAATTGCATGGATTCTTTGAAGTTAAGTATCATCTCAATGGTCTAACTGTCTAAAGTTAGCAGCGAGATCTGAAGTTCATAGGCTCAATCTTCAATGAGATCATGCATGGACTTGGTTGAGTCTCAAATACTAAGACGCAACCGTCCTTACGATTCTCCTAGTTTGGTAATGATATACGAACTGAAGTAAATCTATTACGAACACCGCTACAAATTAAATCGATCACCATAAAGCCACTTCATTTATTGGATTAAACTTGGAAAAATAGCCTACCAACTAAACGAAGCTCACTTATGGACACATACACATACATAACATATATGGAATACCAAAAAAACGAAGAAATAAAAGCTTATTTTTAAATTAACATATAAGCTCACAGAATGAATATTTATTCATCCATTCAATTATGTCACTCGCCTATCGAATATACATATATATAATTTATTCAGAGTACTACTGTGGTGTGGTCTACTTATGTCCATATAAGTAGTATATGGTGTGGGTCAGACATAGAATGTATTTTCGCAGAAGACCGATGAGGAAAGAACTGAAATGAAGCGCAATCGTTTGGAAAATGCATGAGCAATGGAATTAGAGAAGAAACAGTGAAGATTGAAACAATTGGTTGTTAATTTGCAAATTGACTGTTCATTGTTTGGTTATCAGAATTTACTGAGATAGTCTGTAATGTTTGCTTAAATACATTCCATTGTCCCCAACCAGTGTTCCGTTCACTACACTACTACTATCTAATACTTTAAATTAGTCAACTATCAAAAAAGAACCTAATTCATCTTAAATCAAAAGATTCCGAATAGAAATGAAACTGATTTAGAGTATAGTTAACATTGTTTGTAGTAGTAATAATAACAATAATGATTTTGTTTTTGCTGTTCCCTACGTAAACCATAGAAGTGGATTATAATAATACAGTAAATTATCCAATTTATCAATGGACTGAATTAGAAGACAACAATAAATAAATAAGTAAATAATATATATAAGAAGACAACAGATTTGAAGGACATGCTTAAGTATTGAATTAAGATAAGGATTCCATTGAATAAATTACATACAAACTAATAAATTATCTTCATGACACACACACACCCGTACATAGAAATATATCAAGATGAGAAAGAATAATAAAAAACAATAAATAACTGCTTTTATATACTGTCCGATATAATCGTTACTGAATATATACTCAAAATATGTGGGGAACAATTAAGAATTTATTATTAAAGTATAGATACTATAAAATGATGACATTATTAGAAGGGGGGTTTTTGTGGAGATTTAGTATTTTCATAGTTGATAACAGTTAATTTAACCACAATTATATGGACGGATGAGTAAATATATATGATGTGTGGGCGAGAATGATAATGATCGGTTGTTTTGCTGAGTCAGACATGTAGATAATGTGACAGGTGTTATATGTGTTATATATTCCCCTAGCCTTATTATTATTATTGATTAACTGTTCCTTGTTGTTGGATTGTGTCAGATTTGGTGTGGAATTACATTGAAGTTATTAGTCAAGCTAATCTCGTGTTCTTGATCTGAGTTGTGTTGAAGTCCTATAGAATTAGACATGTGTTACGTATGCCCAACCACCGACGTGCAATGCTTTATAGTGTAGGAGTAGGTTGGAAGAAAGCTAGGGGTGGCCACACCAAAACATGGCATAAATCCATGAAGTCACTGACAAGTGGACTGGGCCATGTTGGTAGGTGTAGACTACCTGGTTGGGATTCGCGAGATGATAGCAATCGATGGTTAGAGACCTTGAATGACATGGCTCAAAATCGTTTGCAATGGCGAAGGTGCATCCACTCTTTGTATTCTGCCAAATTCTAATCTTCTGAATTCTTCGTGTCCCTATCCTTTTTCTCTTTCCAAATTTATTTCACTGTATTATACTCCTTCAATAACATCTTCAAACCCTAATCTTTCCGATTACTGCTTATATTCTTACTACTTCTACCAATATGGGATTTGAATCGACAACTTCATCTCTGTGCTAATGTGGTATGGCAACTCGAACTGATGTATGTACGTACGAAGTTCTACGTTGTAACTGACTGACTGACTGATAGAATTAGACACTGGGAGGGAATCGAGTGTATATATTCGTCTAAGGTAAATTAACGTCCCACATACGTGTAAAAAGTGAAAGGACTGTTATAACAAGAAATCCTAGCGTTATAACAAGTATCCTACCGTTTATAACAATATATGTGTATATATATGTTCTAACAGTTGAAATTTATTTACAACTGTGAATTATTCAGTATTGAATAGTTCATTGAATGTGTTTCTTGCTATTACATGTTATTTATATGAGAATAATGTGCTCTAGAGTTTGATGTAATGAATGATATTACCTGATTCGAATCCTACTTCGAACATTTTAAGTATATAACATTAACTGGGGTTTTTCAACCATGAGTAAGGCATACTATTTCACTAACTGAAACGAATTCCATCAAAAATCTTTACATTTGGAGGTCAACTTACTGCTGTACATTTCATCAAGTTGAAATTAGGAAATCAAATAAATAATACTATTCTATGGCGTCATTATTACTCAATAAAATAAACAAAACAATTTATGATTACAGCACACTAATGACAAATAAAACTATAAGCACAGATGGATGATGGTTAGCTTGAGATCTATAAAGTGCATTTCACCCTAATTAAGACTCATCAACTACATGTACTGCACCCTTGAGTTGATGTTCACGCCGGGACTCAAACCAAGTATCGACTGCTTAAAACGTCATAGCATTATCCACTTAGTTTTTGAGTGCAGGTAGCCACTAGCTTATGTAATAAATAAATGTTCATATTTTGATTCTTATCATTGACAAAGTGATAATTTCAACGATGGTGATGAAGTAAATTCTACTTTTATTAATAAATAATGTATGTCAATATACAGATTGAAAACATTTTGGTGTGTACATATGTAAGGCTTACCTGACATAGTATTTTTAAAAGAAAGCACTAAATTATTTCTGATTCATCTCGATTTCGTCGGAAAACCGATATTTATAGTAACCATAATAATAAAAGCAATAACAATAAAAAAAACAACTTATGGTGAAATTATTGTTGATAGAAACAAAAAAAACGGAACAACAACACATACTTACAAAAGTCACTTGGTTTAGCTTGAGATAAATCTTTGTAGAAATCTGTTCGATGCGCTTTTTTCAAACCTGTACATAAGCCAAAATCACTCAATTTAATATGGCCCTATGGACCATTCCAGAGAATATGGTACAGTTGTAGTTGTGATTATGTTACATTGATAAATGCAAACGCATGAACGATGAGTCAGATGATTGAGTTGTGAGAGGGAAAAAAAAGGAAAATTATTATGACATTAATAGAATGTTAATAAGTGATGTTTTAATCTAGAGGCAATTAGTAGAGATGGTGGAATTTTAAATTACTTTCATTCACGAATTGATCTTAACTAGACAACTAGTTAAGACGTGAAAGAACTAGACAGCCGTTTAATCCTAGTATGAGGCTACTAAACAGTGAGGATTCACGAACTTGCATCCGGGAATCGAATCAGGTCTCAGTGGTGATTTGGCTAAGATCAATACGTGAGTCAAACAATGAAAATCTACAATCTCTTCAATTCTCTTTATACTAATAATAATCATGTGGTCATCAGAAATTAGCTCCAACCTTCAGTGAGAAGTAGTGACCAGTGGAGTTAAAGTAATGAAAGAGGATTGCGCAATATTATGAATTGATATGTACACTGAAAGATCCCCGCCTAGTGGTCTAGAGGTTGGCGGTTTGTGTGCGAGACCGAAGGTTCTGAGTTCCATTCCCAGATGCAGGGTCGTGGATGCGCACTTTTGAAGAATCTCATACCAAGACCAAATGCCCGTCCAGCGCTTCCAAGTTTTCAAAAATAGTTTAGTTGAGATTAGTTTGTGTTCTAAGTCATGAAAATGTTATTTAGAAAACGCAAAGACGTTGATTTAAACAAGGAAATAAGAAACAAGAAATGAGAAACATCTGTTTATAAACACTAGCTTTGTGTATCGCATATATTAGAACAAAGCATTGTTTAACGAAAAGGAAGCAAGATGAAAAATACGTAAAGAAATAGGACGACAAAGAGAAAAGGCTTTCATTCTTGTTTTCTACTAAAAGTTGAAGTCAAATTAGGATGTATTTTTCTTTGTTTTTTAAAAAAAAAAGGAATAATAGGTATATGCATTGACCTAATCATTTTATTAGCAGTATTAACATAACAAATAATTGAATTTAAATCAAAAATATCAAATAATTTGCACCAAAATACAACATTAACTTTAGTACTGTTGTATCCGGAAGAGAATTGTGAATGGTAACTTTAGAGGACTATTTATTGGTCAATGTAATATGCATATTTCCTATAGTAATTAACCTAATCATATTCGTGTTCCTCTTATCATTAGCTTTATTTTGACCTTTGAACTATTATTGTACGATTCTTGAGTTATCATCAGTTTATTGATTACTATTCACAGCCACATTCGGCTAAATATTGTGCAAATGTTATTATCTATTTTATGGGTCGATATGGTCTGTTTGGTTGGTATATAAACTCAAGATGTTTGAAATAAAATGATTCATACCACTGAGGCTGTTATTGGTGTTCTGGACTTAACTGACTGGGCTAAGCAGATCGCAGGACCGGTTGGCACTCTAGTCTGCTCGTACGGGTTTCGTGTCACTGTTCCAGTCTATAATTCGCTGCTCCCTGATTGGCGGTTCTATCGTGTCACACATTAGCAAATCATCCACTCGGCTACAAGATATAACACTTAATAATATTATTTAATCAGTCGATTAAGTCGAAAAACGGATTTATAAATAACAGCTGAGGTTGTATAGTCAACAATTACACATCTTTAAACTACAGTCTGCTCTAATGTATGATGTCGGTTGAAGTAGGACCATGGTAAAACAATATCAAAGATTGACGAATTGATACCATGACACTAATTGATGAAGTTAACGACTGTCTATTTATGTTATGAATTTAGGTGGAATTTTCTTTAACGACTTCTAGAGGCTGATGAGAAGAAAGGCTTAGGGCTTCTAATCGACAACCGATTATGATAGAAAAGTCTTCGACAGGATTGGAGAATAAGGATTAAATCATCACAACATCGGTTGGCAAAAGACTCATCATGGCAGTCTTTGATGAAGAGAATTTTTATCAAGAAGGTCGAAGATATGTTTGAAGACTACAATGATAGCGCAATAAGAAGCGAATGAGACTGAGTACGTACAATAAGAGCTAAACCTATCCTACAGAATTCTCACTCCACAAAACTTGAAGACAGCCATCATATATTTATTATTCCAAGGAATAGCTACCCTCATAACTTTCTAAAAGATGTCACAGCAAAACCGTCATTAGGAACCGAAAGATCTTTTATTATTATTATTATTATTATTAATGGCTTTATTCAATATTATAATCTGATACAATATAGAATAAGAAATAAACAAAATTTTGAAATCCTTGGAAATTAGCATTACTCAAAAAAGGAACACAATAACTTGTTTGTAATTTATACATAATAAAAAAAGAAACAGTGAATAACAAATATCAATTACAAGACGACCTGCTTCTATTGAGACAGATATTATACTGAAAAAAGTGAAAGTATTCTTCATTTAGGTATTAACGAACACAGACAACGACTAGAAAACAACGAATATAGATTTGACCGAGAAAGGGTCAAAATTGTATGTCGAAGATACCTTAAAAACCTCGATCGATTTCTTAAAGTCAGACAATGAAGTCATTGTGCCACATATAGACACATCGCGACAGATTCAAACCACTTACTGATGAAAGCTAGGTCAGTGAATCACGTGACCAGAGGTCACCTAAGAATAGAATCTAGTGTGAATGAATTTGTATAACGGCAATCGAAATGGATAGATTCAGAAAATATTCTCCTCTGTTTGATGAGACAGTTGACGGTGTTATCCGAAATAACAGATAAAGCTTTGTAATTGAATCCTCCAGTTAAATCTATTAATATCAAATTCATTCATTCCCTAGATTTCTTAAAGGTCTCAACAATGTATTATCTTTGGAGGAGCTTCGCTTTTAGACTAGTATATTACTTTTTTATTCCTTCCATTTTCATTAATTTTCTCCATTTGAGACAGTTTTAAACTATGCAGTTTATGCTGTGCCCTGCACTGGAACTAGGCGGTTGAAGGCCAATGTAAAGGTGTTTTGGAACCACGTATTGTAGTAGTTAGCGCCTGTCATTGAGAAATATTCGAGATCTCAAAGGGATTGACCCTCTCTGAGGCATTAAAATCTAAACCAATTCATGTTGTATGCACAGATGTATTTTGACTGCGACTGACTTCTTATAAGACTGGTTACTTATTAATAATCAATATGATGTATGGTCCTTAGTGTAGTATCAATCCCGTCAATAAAGCTTCGGTTAACCTACAATTGTTCTACACACGAATACATCTGTCATTATTACAACTGCTCAGAGCCAACGAAACTGCAATTTGTTCTTTTATTAAATTATGACGAACGGTACCATATAGAACTATAGAAATAATAACCGAATATTCCAAAATCAGGATTACTTAAACACACATATATGAACACAAAAGCATAACTACCTTTGCATCAAGTAATAAATTGTCCGGTTTAATATCACGATGAATAAAACCCATTTTATGTATTGAATCTATTGCTAAAACGGTTTCTGCTATATAAAATTGAGTTTGAGATTCTGTCAATGTATCACGTTTCATCAACAATGTCATCATATCACCTAGATGAGAACAGAAAAAAAGGAAATCATCAAAAAAAACATCGAGATAGACAGAAACGAACTAGATAAGGTAAACACTTTTTGTTATCAAAATTAAGAACATTGTTGTGAATAAAGATAAGTTACAGTGAAATTAAACATTATTCCGCCTAGTTTGGCCTAATTTATTTATCAACCATACACCTAAGAGAAGTTTATAGTCATCCGAGTTGCAGCGTTATTTAGTATAAACATGATTTTTTCTCTTGAAAAGGATTTGGAAATAAATGTTGGTAAAAAGAATGTGGATACATTTTACACTATCACTGGGTATTTTTTTAACTTCATCTTAGTAAAGAAATAGTAGTATTGAATGAGTCATAGCTACGTGAACTAAAACGACTGAAGTGATCCGGGAACCTGTAACTTATGCTGTTTAAATCGCTCGACTAGCGTTCCCGACCATAACAACTACTTAAGATACACTTATCATGGATGCCTTGAAAAGATATAACAAAACCTAGTTACAACTAAAGGTTCATAATTGATAACTGGCAAGTTATATATTTCAATATTATTTGTAAAAATTATATTTGAAATAATATCAGAGATTAAAATAGTTCCAATGTTTGCTGAATGAAATGCTAATCATTCAGATTATTTCAATTATAATTTTTACAAATCATGCCTTCTATATACTCAGCAACTGATTTCTGTCAAACTATTCGTTCAAATATTGACAGATGCTCCTTTGTTATTCCTATAAAATATTTCGTAAGAAAACAAATCCGAAAATTTAAAAAATGACCAAACAAGATTGAGGATTCACTTTCAACAGTGTGTTAACATATATTCAGTTGTATTATGATCTTTTTTTTATAATTACTTAGACAGGGATTGAAATGAACTTGATTTTCTACTTCATTCAAATAAATAAATAAATAGTAAAATCAAAACAATAACGATAGAATGAGAACCGGTTGACTGACGTGATGACAATCAATTGTAGTTGAAACGATTGAAAATGCAAAAACAATTTTGTGATTTTATTTGTTTTATTTTGAAAACCAAAAGAAAAAGAATTCGATACTTCCCAAAACCTAAGTTATCGACAACGACAATACATTATCACGTGAATCAAATGGTAAAACGGATGAGGAGGAAATCGGTTTGAAAATAGTACGTACAAAATATTCACCTATTTACTCCAACTCTATACAAGTGTCACTGATGACCATGTTACGTCCTCTGATTGATAGTCGACGAAATACGTTATACACATAACGGCACTCGAACGTGAAGAATTTCACAGTCGAAAGTGAGAAGAGGCAAGGAAAATATTAGCGTTACCTATAACATCATTATAATTCAGCCGATCCGCAAGGAGGCAAGTTATGCTACCGTCCAATCGTAGCACGCCATGTTGGTATTCTAGGAAGCTCTCTCAGATTCTAATCGGACGGAAGCTCTTTGGCTCCTTTAGAGCCTCTGGAGGTTTCGTTGTGCTCCTCAAAAGCCGTCTCAACAGAGCAAAGTAGGTTAGAAACGATGAATATTTTAAAATTAATTCATCATAATAATTTTACGAATAACTCATTTACATTTTAGTTATCGTATGGCATATTTTTTTCAAAGGATTTATATATATGTCTTCTATCCTTTTTCACCGTTTATTCACTTATAACAGAGTAAATGGAAAATAGAAGAGCTATATTTTTATTTGTTGTAAAACAAGACTGGTTTTTTCTTATTAATAGCAAAGGTTTGATTTATTCCGTTATTGAAAATCAAAACTAAATTTTGATGGATCTATATTGGCATACTTACAACCTGCTGTATGGACTGCCTCAATATACCCATCATCTTATTTATTTATTGTCATTAGTATTTACTTATTGACAATAGATTAATTAAGGGTAGCACTGAAATTCAAGATGCCCATTTCGTCCTATTTAGGATTTATCACCTGATTGTGAATATTCATACTGGCAAAACCAGGTGGTGAGTCTCAAACACGACAAAACGCGAGTTCTAGATCCTACAATTATGCAGGAGCTATTTCTTCTAAACTTTTGGTTTCGTTTAGTTTAAACAGAGTATTGATGATATAGTAGAATAAACATAAAAGACGGTATTAAAAACACAAAAAACTAAAATTACTGAAGTATACAGGTCACGGGGGCATACAAATATGCATACACACTTAGTATAATATAAAGATGACGGGTAATATCATTCTACTTGAACTGAAGTAACCTGAAATTTATCAATTAAAACCAAGTATACTAGTTTAGAAATACAAACTGATGACTACACTTGTGTATGTATGCGTATAATCAATGAAAAGGATCATGACCTACAAGATGTTAGTCGATTACAAAACGATTCGAAAGGTAGGATTCAAGAGGAGTAGAAGAAAGACTAAACATTAGTACTTGTCACTTATATTTAGACGTACGTATATAAGAGTGCTTGTGAAGCTTAACTTTTCAAGGTCAAGGACATGTTTGCACTGTTAGCATACGATCACTGATATTCCGCAGGTGTTCCTCTTTTATTTTTTTAACCATCTAGAAGAAATGTAGAAGTTAAAAGTAAATCTCTAAGCATAGACACCAAAACAGTTTGTGAGATTGAAAGCATCAATTTACTATGTAGTTGGAAAATTCGTTATCTACATAGAGCCTACAATGACAAGCTAAGCTAGATAACATACAAGTAAATTGGTAAAATAAAGATGGAAGACAATACCATAACATGATATCAGCCCATAAAATCAAATGACGGTCTATCTAAATATAGTTATTTATTTATTTATTTATTTGAACACATGAATATTGGTAGAAAGGGGCACCAGATGCATATGTGCCACACAAATCTCATTTGATTTGTGTGAGAGCTGTGATACTGCCCAGGTGCCCAAACCGAAACAGGTGGTTTTCTCAGGGAACCACACCCGGAGCCTTTGATATAAAGATCTGATCCACAAGGCAGTGGAACATCGTAAGGAGATACAGTCCCATGGTAGCCGGTGACCAAAGATTGATTCATACGCCATTTGTTCCGTCAGGATACTGGAGCCCATATGCACCATTGGTTTGGAATCAGGGTTTTCCAACTTCCCTAGGTGGACTTTCTGTGTCCACCAACCCGGTTAAAGTGCCGGACATTCGCTTTTCGTCCTCTCAATTTCGTAAATAACACCCCTGCCACGAGAAGGCAGTGAGTAGGACTTCCCTGGCAGAGGCTATCAACACGTGACCATATGAGAGCATTTCGAGAGGGAGAGAGGACTTTCCCCACTTTTAGCCGTACCAGGGCATTCGGGGGCTAAATATAGTTAAGATTCGTGTGAATAATCGAATATTCTGGTTAGAGAAGTTAGACAGTAGACAATAATAAGGAAACTATTTATTTTCTACTGAATTTTAAATGAAAATATTATGTAGTGTTCTTCATTTTCTTATCGTACTATTTGAGATATGATGGATCAACAGCATCTCAATGATCACATTAAATTTATATCAGTCAAGCATTGATATACTCCTAATATCTTTTATCAGTTCATAAAACTGATTGTATTTTATTGTATTGGTACTCATCTATCACCATGTGAATCAGTTAAATGAAGTCGAATAAACTGAATTATTCGATCAGTTCATGCTTTCAATAACAAAACTGTATATAAATAATTAAATTTGTCATGGAAATTATCTTATCATTCCACTGATAACATACTAATTCTAAACAAGTAATAATTGTAAACAAAGATTTTATTCAAAAACAAATAAATTTTATGAAAAAAACACTCAAAATAAAATTATTATTTATTATTTTCATAGTTGAAATCATGAGTCAATTGAAGCTAGACCACCATCAAAAACCTGGAAGCACTGAACGGCCGTTCCGTTCTATTATGGGACTCCTCAGCAGTGCGCATCCACGATCCCGCACTCACGATATTCGGACCCAGGACCTACCAGTCTTTATTAAGATTTTACACATGATCTGTAATAATAAAATTCATGTTATTATAAACTATGAAGGTCCACTATGGGATTTGAATCGACAACTGCATCTCTGTGTTAATGTGGTATGGCAACTCGAACTGATGTAGGTACGTACGAAGTTCTACGTTGTGACTGACTGAAGGTCCAAGTCAAAAAGAATAATGGTAGTCTGTGTGAGAATTTTGAAAAATTTTGTAAGTGCTCTGTACTAAAAGTATTATCTGATTCGATTAGAAAAACCCCAAAACAGAAAATGAACACCTAATATGTGTATAGTTGAAGAGAGGAGAAAGAAAAAAGAAAACGAAAGAAAATGTCAAACAGATCTCGTTTCAATGGCTTTACTTTTGATTAGAAGTAGTAATTAGACAAAAACAGCAATAACGAGAGAACAAAAAAAGCCAAATATGCATTAAAGCATAAATCACATATTAGATAATAATAATAAAACAATGTTGATATATTTTAGTTTTCAATGTTTATTGAGATCAAGTGATAGAAAATAATCACAATATCAAAATTAATCAGCAATGAAAATGGATTACAAGTGGTTTCGTGGTGATTGGTTAATGTCATAATTCACATCAGAGATTAATATTAGTTAAACAATCACTGAGTGGTAATTCACTGAAGTGTGGTTAGAAATAGTAACCAGTAGTGTACAACTATATCGGAGGTGTAGGGAGTTACTCATCAAAGAAAATGGAAGATAATTGTGCAATATCACGAATTGATTGAAATTAAACAATGTGAACCGTTAGATCTCGACTAAGTAGTCAAAAGGTTAGGCGCTCGGTACAACATATGAACTTTGATTCAGTAGCCGGTGGGGTCATGAGCACTGATGAAGATTTCAATGCCAGGACAAAACAGCTGTTCAATGTCTACGCAACTAAAATCAGTCCATGATACAAACTGTGAAATAAAATTAAATGCATGAAACATTTAACGACTGATATTGGAAAAAAGTTTGATGCTACGTTTTATACTTGTTAGTCAAGTTTGTTTATTGTAGTGTAGCGAAGTATAAAAGAATATATTCAATGATTCACATTATCGCGTATATTGTGTATAGATATTAGCATATGGTCTTGGTAGGATCGAGGGTATAAAGATTCTACTCTCCCTCTAGAAATACTCTCACACGGCCACGCTTATATAACCACTAAAACGGAAGTCCTACTCACTGACTTATCGTGGCATTACTGTTGTTTACGAAATTCTGAGGACAAAAAGTCAATGTCCAGAGCTTTAACCGGGTTGATGGATATGGAGGATCCATATGGGGAGTAAGAAAACTCTGATTTCAAACCAATGGTGCACATGGGCTCTAGAATCCTGAGGTAAAAAATGGAGTATGACCCTATTGTTGGTCACCAGCTACCACAAGACTGCATCTCCTGACATTGCTTCACCGTCTTGTGGATTAGACTTCTAGATCATAGGCTCGATGAGTGATTTTCTAAGAAAACCACCTGTTTCAGTTTGGGAGCCCAGGCAATATTTCAGCCCGCAAACAAATAGAATAACAAAGTGTAGTACATACATATTTGGTGCTTCATTGTACCAATCTTTATGTGTTTAAATAAATAAATAGGATATCTCGCTGTATCACTGGTGTGAATAGTTTAACCATCTAGTAAAAAAGAATATGTCACTCCTTTTTGTAATTATTTTGCACGAAATATCTACCACGATTAAATGCATTTATATCACGTTAAGGTGAATAAGAAAAAAACCCTGATGACAGTTAATACAAATCAACCGAAGTGCACTATCCAGAAGTTATCCTTCAAGGAAGTTGACTACTATCTTATGTAAAACAAAATGTCCATTAATTTAATCACTGATAGTACACAAGTCAAATAAGTACTAACGTTTTTTGTAAAATTTAGAAAATGCATAGATTTTCAATCTTCTGATTTAAAATAATCAAAATTCTGAAATCTTAGACTTAGATATCAACTAATTGATAGTTGTTATGAATAGTAGTATCAAGTACATTATATTATATTATTATATATTATATTATATTGTTTACAAGGTAATGAAAAGTGACCAGATGAAAATTATATTTTTATGATAAATCCACACCAGTCTATATCATCATGAGAGAATAGGAAACAATCCCAACACATCTGATAATTGTTATCATATCGTGCTCTCTCTCTCTCACACTGTTTTTTCATACCTCATTCGCTTAATGTAGGCAAACAAACAAAAAATATATTACTACCATAGTAACAATATCGTTATAATAATGATTATTAAATTTATTTTCCATAAAATATTCTATTGTTTCCCACTCTGTTTTGTTATATTTTATGAAAGAATTGCATTGTAATGTATGCATAGGCATTATAGAAATAGAAAATGAAGTATAGATTAATTGTTCAGTAATATTTTCAAATAATTCTTTCTATAGCTTTAATTCCCAGAAAAAGGAAAAAGAAATGAAAAGTAATAGACTAGAATAAAGAAGGACTGAGACTGCGTCATAATGTTGACGTTAGATGAAAATCATAATGTCACAGATTGATTGGACTTAGGCATTTAGATCACTAGGATTTCGAACACAATGGTTGAAAGGTGTGGTGATCCCAGCGAGAACAGATGTCAGATTTGCATTAATAATGAAATAAAAAAGCTTGTGGACTTAATAGTCACATTGTTTATATGAATCCATATATCAGTCTGTATTCGGTTTGTGAATCACAAAGACTCAATTTGTTAAACGCTTTAACCCAGCTTCATCTACATTGATTTTGACCATCGAATGGTATCATCGTTAGCCTTTACACAAACAGTGAGGCTCAGAGTTGAGTACATAAACCTAAACTTTTTAAATGAGTTATAATAAAACATTGATTAACGTGTTGTTAAAAGTCATGATGATGCCTTATGGAAAATATGATTCACGTAAACTGGTTAGTTTTAGTTACACTGATTATTTGGTTTTAATCTTAATTTTATATTACGCTTCAGTAAATCTATACATGTGTTTACTAAAACCTATCCTTGAAAATTCAGCAATAGTAAAGGATAGAATTAACAGTAAAAATAAACTTAAATATATATAGATCTATGTTTTAGGACCAATTCAACAATGATATAGACTAAATCAAGAACATATTAATTGAACTTACCACCTGGAAGGAACTCCATAACTAAATACAGATTGACTGAATCTTGAAATGAATAAAACATTTTCACAACCCAAGGATTATCAGCTTTGACTAGAATATCACGTTCAGCTCTTACATGAGCCACCTAATAATTAGAAAACAAATGAAATATTCGAAAAATCAGAATATATTTTCAGGTTTTGAAAAGGTTGAAATTTATTACTTTACACTCAACTCAAACACCTACAATTGAAAATAGAAAACTAGCCTTAATTATGTCATTTTTGTTTTGCGTTACACAGACTTGGCATTTTTCTCGAAATAATGATTAAACAATGATTTCATAGCTGGTGGGATCGTGGATGTGCACTGCTGAGGATTCTTATGCTAGGATGAAACAGGTGTTCAATGTTTCCTTGATTCCAGTGATTATCTTTGAGTAAAGTCAGCTCATAATCTAAAACTATGAATTCAATTATAATTCCTGTATGAAACAACCTATACTGGTGCTTTACTCTAATTAGCGATGGAAATTCATAAACAGATTGACAGAAATCAACGCTGGAAGATAATTATATACAGCTATTTAATGAATAACACTTTAGTTCACAAATATACATAGTACTTTATTAGGAGATTTATGAAGATTTATCTTAATAGGCATTCCACATTATGGAATTTATTCAGTTCGAAAACTGTTAGAAAGTAGAGAGCAAAGATCTGTTGGAACCATGTACAGAATTCATGAGTAATCTGAATTCGTAGACTCAATTAGAACTGACGGCTTTCAGATACTGTAGCGAGTTCTTTATTATTAGACTAGATTCTTGTCGTTTACATCTACAATAGACATTTAGATAGAGAGTGAGCAACCTGAAACTGGATATCGATAACCAGTTTTAACCACATTTTTTGTTTTACAAATGACAGTGATTCAAGTAAACAACACAACTTTTGTAATCAATGAGATTTTTGTTATCTTATAATCACGAAAAGAATGAAAGGAATTCAAGCAAAAACAAACTCAACAAATGCCTTTGCACACATGTTGATGAATATAATGATAACATGCATGTGAAAGAAAAACGCGGGATCAATAAGCGTAGAAACCCATACCAATAACAATACTACTACTAGTAGTAATAATATTAACATCACTTTCAGTATTATAAACGTGATAATTTAAATGTATCTGAAAACAAAATCAATACAAACGGTGAGTGTATCTATGTCTTTTATATGTGTGTACTTGTGAATAAGATTAATGGTCAATTTAGCTATTGTATTCATGTGCACTACATTTTTATAGTTGTAATGTATAGCTCTTATGTTTCAGTGAGTAATTTATGCGTAGGACTACAATTACGCAAATATTTACAAACACAGTTACAATGGGAAAACAACAAGAAAACATGTATTGTAATGAGTGTAAGTAAGCCGTTTTTTCCTATGTAAATAAAATCAATTTTTGTTTTTTTGTAACTCTATAGGCGAAAGAAAAATGTATTACGAGTAGAAATGCAAAATAACAACATTTCTGAATGAATGGTATAGAAGCTGATAAATATATTCAAACACTTTACAATTCGATGGACTACATGACAATGATCAGTAATGCATATATAGTTTTTGACAAAACATTCGTGAAGAAATTGCAGTGTGTAATTATTTCATAAACTATTCAGTCAATAATCAAACCGAGTTAATGAAGTTTTATCTACTTAAGATTTGTACAATAAGCACGAAACAATGTTCAGTATTTATTGTTAATTACTAATTGATTGTCCTCACCACAGCCAAAATTATCAAGTAAATGCGACATATGTTTGCGTTCAAGCAATCTTACAACTACCTACTGTTGCCAAACAACCAAAAGAGTGTCTACGTAAACTCTCTCTACTCATAATGAAGTTAAAAAAGCTGTAATTTATCTAAAGCGAGGAAAGCAAGCAGGCTATAGTGAACTAACATCGGAAATCTTTAAGAATGATGGTCTAGTTTAAGCAGCTACATTGACTGAGATATTAACCGGAGTCTCAAGACTAGGCTTAATCTAATATGACTGGTATCAATAACATCGTAGTATTCGTCATGGTTATTAGCTTCCTCTAAATTTATTTAACTTTTCCATAAACATTTAACTAGAGGAAGCATTCCCATCGTCTGAATTTTTAGGAACTCATCTCCCATCAGGATATATTCACCCCTTGGCATAGAATACGTAGATGACATATTCCTGTTTGATTAACATGCAGACAAAATGCAGTATTCTAAACACTTTAAGCAACAATGCAAACATGTTTGAAATGCTAATCTCTACAACTGAACGCAAAAATGTTGCTACTCCAATTGCATTTTCTATGCCGATGTGTATATATATTGTCAGATTCTAGGCTGCACATGACTCACTAACTGACGAACTCGTTCACTGTTTCATGGTCATTTCTTTTTCATCTGTATCTAAAGTATATACCCCGAGGATAACAATAAAAGCTTCACAGTTAGATCATTTAGCTCGGAAAACGCGACACATCCAAATACACCCTGTCATTATTGATCAATTATATGATCAACATTAGCATTTCTTAACGAAAGGAGTATTGTGAAGATTTTTAGTGATTTTATAGTTGAAATCATAAGTTAATTGAAGCTAGACTACCATGGAAAACCTGGAAGCACTGAACGGCAGTTTTTATCGAGGTTGTAACTTGTTTTATTCCTAATATATTCGTATTGAAAGTAAAGTATTTTTGGGAAAATCTAAAGCACAATTGCTTGGAACTTTTGAATCCTAATTAAAATAACCACTTATTCGTTACATTTTCAAATTTAAGGCTTCTCTTTGGATCACTTTTAATTCATCTCGACATTGCCAAACAATTTTTAAACATAATTGAAATTTGAGTATGAAATTTGATGGGTCTGCGTTGATATATTCACATCTTATGCAGATTGCTTTGATAAAGTCACTTTGTCACCGATTTTCTGTAATGAATAGATTGTAGCTAGTAGTACAACACAGAACGAGCGTCTTGTTCTATGATTATATCGAGACAATCTGCACAGGATGCAAACATTTGAACAAGGATTGATCTTATCCAAATCAAGAGTATCGACATCAAGATAAATAGGACACATATCATTAACATCATTATGACCAAAAACGTTAGTGGCTAGCTGGACTCAGTGACTCAATACATAACATACTGGTGTTTGAAAAGATAGATACTAGGGTTCAAGTCTCAACGTGAGCATCATTACTCGGATGATATAGGTTTATGCGAATAATGGAACACCTATCCTATATTCTACCGCTAGCCATAAAATTTATCTGTTCTCTATAACCATTAGAATTCTTAAACTTTTAACAGTTTAAGAATAAAAATAAGGATGTGTTTTATAAAAAACAGAAAATATTGTCATACTCTGAAGAGGTGAATTCAACATTAATTAAATTAGAAACTAAACAAGATGAAATTAACAATCATTGTTCCAATATATACCGAATAATATCAATTATGGTTAATTGTGACAAGATTAATATTAAGCACTTACTTGGTCCTTTTGTAGCATATCTGCTTTATGCAAAATCTTCATAGCATAAATATAGCCATTGTCTTGTTTTTGAACTAATCTTACCTATCAAACATGTTGTATAAAGAGAAAGAAAGAGTGAGAGACAGAAAAAATTATAGTAAAAATTTTATCGTGAGGAGAAAAACAGTGAAAAAGTAATAAATTGTGAAAATAAAGCTTTTTATAAAGTTTTATACCTGCAATGAAAACAACTTCCACCTTCTTGTTAAGTAACTTACAGTAAAATATGAATTATCAGTGTAAGAGTTACAGAGACAATTATTCAATAGCTAACGTGATATAATGCGTTTTTACTAATAGCTAAAGCACACACACGGAGAGATATTTCTTCTACAAACGTCTGTAAAATGATTGATATCCTGTGTTACTAATAATTATTGATGAATAAACGATAAATAAGACGGACTTCATGTAATTCCACCTAAATTCCTAACAGTCGAACCCAAGAAACCAAAAGTATTTTCTTCCAGAAGGGGACAAATGCATATATGCATTAGGTTTTATTTTGTTTATAACTGGCTAAAAACATAGTTCAATATCTGAAAAATCATTAAAACCAATTAACAAAAAGATGAAGTGCATAAAAGTTCGGTATTAAGATCATCGAGAGCAAAAATATACAACTTAATGGCACTCATGAAAGAAGTGCTTTAGAAAACCTTCGTCATCATTAAGTGATGTAAACATATTTCATTTATTTTTACAATTTAGTCCTGTGATAATTAAGATTCATTAAAAATCTACAAAAAAAGACAGTCACATGTTAAACTCTTTTATTTTTATTATTTGTATTCAAAATAAATCTGTGAACTTTGATTTTGACCCATAGCCGGTTTAATAATCATCCAAAACGAAGATAAAAGAAGAAAACAATTAACTGAGCGTAATCGATTTCACAAGTCAATCTACGTTAAATGATCACTGAAAATCAGGAAATGTGCATCCATGACCCCGTAGGAAATAGAACTGAGGACTATGCGGTTTTCCACAGCTGCTGACCATAAAAGTAAACGGTCTCCAAAAAATCCCTATATTGTAATTGCTGAAGTTCTAATGAGAAGCCAGAACCAGTGGAGTTCGACCACATTCAGTGTCAGGCAGTTAATCAGCGACGGTGTAGGAAGATGATTGCACAACATTACGAACCAACTGACGTTAGAAGCATAAACTATTGGATGCTGACTAAGAAGTTTAAAAGTTAGGCGTTCCGGTTCGATTACTGGAGCAGACGTGAATGGGCAAGCTCGTGAGCTGCTGTACCTGAATAAAAAAGCTACCGAGTGTTTCCTGGATATAATTGGTTGTCTTAGGTTGGTCTATGATCTCAATAACATTTGATTACGCTTGTACAGAAATTATTTAGCCGTTTAAGTGAGAATGACAACTTAGCAAAAATAATTATAATATTCAGGTTAGTTGATAATTGTCCCCAAATTCTATGACACTGTATGGTCCTTGTGATATCTAATATGCGATGGAGATAGTCACGACAAACTTATTTTGTAGTTAGTTTTTGATACTATTTTTATTTCTTTTGTTAGCTCTCATAATTTGTACATTTACTACAAATGACTGTAGTTGTTTAAAATTGCTAGACCTTGACTACTTCCTCTTCCATTTGGAATCCTACATAGCACGACACACTGATAACCGCTAATAAATACACTGCTACACACACGTCTCCCGTTCTCATTTGTCTGTTGTTATGATAACTGAACTCTAAAATATTTATTATCTACATTTATAGACTACAACTATACTTCCATTATATACTCTATCTGGATAAACCGCTCGAATTATAACAATCTTTATTGGAATTATTAATTACCTATAATTTTGAATTATTATACCAAATGCAACTCAAACACGCCAAGTTCTAACAATTTAAGAAGTATTTAGTAAATTTTTCTATATATATATATGGATAATCAGACTGCAACGCACCTCAAATAAACAGCCATACTCTAGATATAACCAAGCGATAAGTGACAGAAAATGAAGCAAACAATGAGTAATTAGTGTGTGATAATTAAGGAATGGTAACACTTGCAGTATTAGTTACTGTGTCCAAAAGAACTTTGGAAAAACATTGAATATGGAAATATGATAACCCAGTTTATTTAACAATCATACAACAAAAGTATGTTAATGATTAGTAAAACAGTTCCACAAGTTACTTCTCCAACATTCGCCCTGTTAGAACGTTAAGCATCTTTTTAACACGTAATTACACATTTTAGATTTGAATTACAATGATAAACTAAGGAGCATATCATTAAGAACCAAAATAACCTGAATAATTGACAAAGGAATGTGATCTTTTGAAGTTATATACAATCTGAAGAACCGTCAAATATTTCGATTAGTTTAAACACGATGACTAATTTATGAGTTATACGTTGAATAACTGATATGAAGAACAATTCATTTATGATCTATTAAAGTCAATTTCCCATTTTACTTTACTGTTAAATGACAAAATATTAATGGATTCATACAAATCCATTTACTTATTGAACCAAATGAATTATTAATTATATTTTTAAAAATAGCAACATCCCAAATCAGCAGAGACAAAGAAAAAGAGCACAGTAAAATCTTACAGGACAAGACCACCAACAGTTGATTACTTAGATTCCAGTCAATGAGTATGTGAATAGCATTCAGACATAAATTTATTTCTAGAGTTGTTAAATAGGTGAGAATTTATGAAGGAAATAATAAGTAAACCAGTAAAAATAGGTATACATAGACGAACAAAATAACAGGAAAATATAGTCAACAAGAATATCGCTCGATGAGTCACATTCTTTCCCATATATATGTAATCGAATCCTACAACTAGCATTTGCCTTGATTCGGTTTGATTATAAATTTCCCTCTGTATTCACTTGCATACACACATTCGCTACTCTGCTTCAAATTCGTTTGATGTGTTTATATCTTTGTTGTCTGTGCTATCCTCGAATAAACTGTAGTCACCGCTTCTTCAGATTTCAAGCACCGTTGGGATTTATACAATAATGGTTATCAAGTTGATCAATTAACGAAGCTAAGCCACTACATATTTAGCCTAATCAAGTGGAAGAACTGATGATTTCGATGTCGGTTACTCTTTTAGGTTCATCTATTTTAACTGTTTATTGAGCTGACAAGGAACATCAACAACAGTAAAAAATGAAGGAATATTTGCCACAGAATTTCACGGTTGCGATTCACAGAAACAATGTTCACTTATTCGTGAAGTAATGATCTAAGTCCATGTAACTCTTAATAACCTCTTAATCGGTGTTGCTTCTACTTTATTTCAAAGTTAGTATATATTTTACGTTTGTTAATAATTGAAATTCAAGGAAAATGTGTATTAAATGTTGGTTGCCTAATATATTTGCAGAATGTTTGTCGAAAAGACAAAAGAAACATGTCAATACTGAATAACTAGTTCAATAACAGATTTTTTTAGATAGTTATAGCTCTTGGATTTAACAACAAATTATCAAAGTAACATGAACAAGGTACATAAAAGGGTGCGACTATAACTTGTGGACGGCTATTGGGCGACGTCGAAGAGTGACCTTGAGAATATCCACCTACTAACTAGAACTAAATGCGGTTTATAAACCAGTGTAAGGAATTACAGTTATAGTTCGCAGTTGATTGTTAGGATTAGGAATTAGATTTAGTGTTTTCATTACAAACTGACATCAGCTATAATGCCAAAACGCTATTAGGCCAAATGTATGAATGAATTTCGCGTCAAAATTCAAGACTTGTTATTTTATGTCTGATTGGTTCATTCATAAATTATAGTCTCGCTCATTAAAGTTTTAGATTTCTATAGAAATGGATGTTATAATTGATCAGATAACAAAAAGTATTCAATACTTTTCTTTGTAAAATTTCATATAACAAACCTATTTGGTTGGGCAACTAATGAAGAACAAGGAGCACTGAGCAGTCATTTCTTTCCAATATGGGACTTCTCAGAAGTACATGTCAACAACCACACCGAAGGTCGAACATCGGATCTGTTAAGTCACACAGAGAGCGTTCACATGCACTGCTGAGGAGATTCAAACTAGGACGAAACAGCTGCCCAGTGCGTATTAGTTATTAATCGTTATCTAATCAAAGTCAATCAGTGATGTGAGGTTTCATATTCAACAATCTTTACAATACCCTGCAATAATAAATTACTGAGAGTATACGTACTTCATGAGATGCACAAAATACTGAATAACACGATCGCTTACAATATATGTATATGAATATACAGGACGTTGCTAGCAGTCTACCATCGATAATAGTGGTATTCACCCGGCCGTTCATGCTAGCTTGAAGTGGTGGTCAGATTTGTCTATCGTAACGAGTCAATCGAGCTTTACTGGCTGGGACAATCGTTCCTCAACGTCCTACCATGCCAGACAGGTCGGTTGAAGAGTGGTAAGATTAAAAGCAGCAAACCCAAGGTTCAAGGGTGAAGTCGTACTGCTGACTGTACAGAGGTGTGATGGCAGTAAGATGTTTCCTTCAGACAAGGAAGGTGTGAGGTTAGAAAAGGTTGAACCTAAAAATACACACCTCGCCTTATCCCACAGATTTTCGTCTTTGGCGTAAGGTCCTAACGAGTACGGAACTAACACGAGAACTTCTCGCAAAAAGGTTGTGTGTGACCGACCTCAAGCAGTTGTCCCTTGAGCATTACGGTCATGTTCTCAGTTCATCAAGAACAACTCTAACCCAGTCACCTTTTCAGGTACTTACAGAAAAATCCTTCCATAGAGTGGGTAACGGGGAAGAAATGACCACCCTCATACGTCTAACAGCACTCAAGATCACTATATTCATAATCAATCTCTCTCTTAGTAGTATTTGACACAAGAGCAACAATAATGTTAATTACTAATTTATTGTTCAATTACTAACTCTACAGAAAATGTTATATCATATCGTTTTAAGGATAACACGATAGATATGTGCATAAGTTAATGTTTTTTATTTATTTAATCACATATATATTGGTACAAAGGGCACCGGATACA